TAGACTTAAACCAAGGCACGCTGCTATAAATAATTCAGAACAAAGAGGCAATGAGATCTTATAAGTTTCCAGAGGGAACAAGAAAAACAAGTTAAATACAAATGTTCAGGAATCAAATGAAATCTGTCTTATCAACACAATGGAAGGTTGAAGATAATGAGGCTATGCCTTCAAAATTCTGAGAAAAAAAAATTGAATTCTCACCAGAAAAACTAGCTAGCAAAGGCACCCATAGAATAAAAATGCTTTCAGATGTTCAACCTCACAAAAAAATCTTCATTCTCAGGTTCTCTTTCTCAGTAAGTCATTGAAGGTTCATGTTCTTAACAAAACAAGTGGGTAATTGAGAGAAAGGAAGAGGAGATATAGGAAACCCAGAAGACTGACAGAGAAGAGCAGTCAAGGGAACCTCCAGGCTAAGTGAGACCCCAGATGACATGTGGACAGGTATGTAGAGGAGCAGCTGCAGAATCTCCCTGAGTAGTTTAAGGCAGGGGAAAGTGATAGAATAGCTAGCCTATCTGAAGATGCTGAGTGGAGATTTATACAACCAGGAGAATATGAGTTGGATCAATGACAAATCACAAAAAAAATATATGAAGATGACAAAAAGACAAGATAACTTGTGCAGCAGAGGAAAAACAGCATAATATATATTAATCATAGGACATTGCTGGTATTAAAAACATTTTCTTTTTGCAGTACTGGGAATCAAACCCAGGGGTGCTCTACCACTGAGCTATAGTTCAGCCCTTTTATTTTGAGACAGGGTCTTTTTGAACTTCCTAGGCTGCCCTTGAACTCCGATCCTCCTACCTCAGCCTCCCAAGTAGCTGGGTTACAGGCATGTACCACCATGCCTGGCCATGCTATTTGGAGCTGGGTATGTGTGGTGTTAAATAAATTTCACTGGTTAATAAAAACTTAGAAAGTGAAGAAATTTTGTCATCATTTTGTCCATTTTACAGATGATAAACTGATACTCTGAGTAGTTAAGTGACTTCAGAAACTTCATGGGCATTTATTTATTTTCCTATGCCAAGCTGCCTCTCAGGCAAATGCATTTTACAAGATGAATCCTTGGAGGAGAGAACTGTGTCCTAATTTTGCAACTTTCCCTTCATCCATTCCTTAGAATTTAAGGATGTGAGGGGGAATAAAGGAGTTCTGACTTCAAGAGCTTAGTGAAGTCTGGTGGAAGGTAGAGTGACAACTTAGACAAAAAAATTTCACCTGTTGATGAATAATGATGATAAGCACCCACAAGGAAAAGTACAAGGAATAGGAGAAGGCAGCCTAGAGTGGAGGAATGGGTCAGGGATGCACTCTCCAAGAAAACAACTGGGAAACATTTAAAATGGCACTTTCTCACCCGCAAAGCCACACTGTTTCTACTCATAGATTGTCTCAGAGAGTTGCCCCCCACCGCCCCCGCACTTCTTTCTTTTGGTACTGGTGAGTATTTTACCATTAAGCTACATCCTCAGCCATTTTACTGTTTCAGGATGGCTGAGGACTTTTGATACTCCTGCCTCAGCCTCCCCAGTCACTGTGAAGATGGGCATGCACAACCACGCCTGGCTCATACAGTTCTTTTTTTGTCACCTAGAGGCACCAATAAAACCAAAGATAATACAACTCATTGAAGATTATTGAGTGCTTTTTATACACAAAGCAGAATATGATAAACACAGAAGAAATCTAAGTAAATTGCTAAGGAATTGAGAGTATGATAACATCTAATTCAGTCCAGAGGGATATGATAAGGTAGACTTAGAGTATGAATGAAAGTTCTTTTTTTTTTTTTTTATACCAGGGATTGAACTCAGGGGTGCTTAACCATTGAGCCACATCCCCAGCCATTTTTAGATATTATATTTGGAGACAGGATCTCACTGAGTTGCTTAGGGCCTCACTAAGTTGCTGAGGCTGACTTTGAATTTAGGATCCTCCTGTCTCAGCTTCCAGAGTTGCTGGGATTACAGGTGTATGCCACCAGGCCCAGCCTCCTTACCACAATTATTCAGGGGCCTGCTTATTTTTTTCTCAGGCCTGTAATTAATATTCTTCCAAGCCTCTCTCTGCCACCAATTTCAGGCAAGCTTCATCCAGTTTACCAACTAACAATTAATTCTTATCAGTCCTAAAGGGTCAGCTCAGGCATCTGGCTAGGTGATGCACACCTGTAATTTCAGTGGCAAGGGAAGCTGAGGCAGGAGGATTAAAAGTTTGAGGCCAGTCTAGATAATTTACCCAGACCCTCAGCAACTTGTCAAGACCCTATTTCAAAATAAAAAGTTATTTTTAAGAAGGGACTGGGAGTGTGATAAGGTGATAAAATGCCCCTGGGTTCAATCCCCAGTACCGCCCATCCAAAATAAATAAATAAATAAAACTCAGGCAACACCA